TGCTAAGTGAAAGAAATCAATCTTGAAAAGCTCCTACTGCATGACATTCTGGAAAAGGCAAAACTATGGCGGCAGTAAGAGTTAGTGGTTGCCAAGGGTTGGAGAGAGGGATGACTAGGAATTTCGCAGAGGATTTTTAGGGCAGTGAAAATACGCTGTCTGCGACTATGTTTGATGCACATCATTATAAATCTGTCCCAACCCACAGGACGTACAACACCAAGAAGGGACACAAATGTAAACTCTGGACTTCGGCTGATGATGATGTGTCCGTGTAGGTTCATCGGCTGTAACGAATGTACCACTCTGGTGGGGGAGGCTGTGCATGTGTGAGGAAGGGAATATATGGGAAATCTTTGTGCTTCATCGACTTTGTCTGTGAACCTAAAATTACTCTTAAAAAGTCTGTTTTTAAAAAAGGAGCCTAAGAAATAAAAAAAAAAAGATGTGAAATAGCAATAAAGTATAGAAAAGTAAATTAATGAATAAATTCCAAATAAAATTTTAAATTATAAAAATAAATTTTTTTGTATACAGAGTAGGACCCTCCTACTATTCTTCCGGCAAAGAAAAACTTGACAATTTCCTGCTTCTGAGACTGGAGCTGGTACTCCCTCATTCTGGTCAATGCAATTGACAATGTTTATGCAACACATAGCAGCCTTCCAACTAACTGCACACCTACTATGTGTCAGGCCCTGGGATCTTCTCCAGACCCTGCAGAGCAGGGACCAAGTTCTGTGGAGGATATTAAATCTTAAACCCAGAAAATAAGCAACATTTTGCTCTCCAAGTTAAAATGCTCATCTTTATTGAGCTATTACTGTATACCAGACCCTGTACAAAGTCCTCATCATAGTGAGGGCTAGCATTTATTGAACACCTAGTACGTGCAGTGCTCTGTTCTAAGCACTTTACATATATTAACTCATTCAATCCTGACGACAATTTTATGTACTACATGTTATGATTATCCCACTTTACAGATGATAAAGTGAAGGCACAAGGAGTTTAACGGACTTTTCTCAGAGTCACTCAGCCGAGAGGTAGCAGAGAGGGAGGTTCAAACACAAGCAGTGTGACTCCAGAGCCTAGGCTAAATGTTAGTATTGCAACTGTAGCTGGTTTAAAGATAAGGAACATAAGGTTCAAGGTAGTTAAATAATTTGCCTAAGGTCACATAGCCTATAAGGTAGTTAAATAATTTGCCTAAGGTCACATAGCCTATAAGTGCTAGAACTGAGATTTGAACGCAGGTTTTACAAAGTTATACTAGAAGTTGGAGAACTCATGTTTCCCAATTTCAAGCATATTACAAAGCTACAGTAGTCAAAATAATGTAATACTGGAATTATTGTGATCTAATAGGTCCACTAAGTACAGTTGTGCAGGCCGAACAGCACCACTCACGTTGGGATCTATGTAGACAGCGTCCTCCTAGAGTTGAGCAGTGCACAACCTGCTCAATCTTACATGGCAATCCTGACCGTATGGGAAATTGATGAAACTAGAAACACAGGTAAGGGGTATTTAAAATAATACGAGAAACATATGACTAGGGACCTGCCCTCAGGTTGTTCTTGATGTTATTAAAACAGGTAAGACATACAGGATGAGAAGTGAAGGCACTACTCTAACAAATTTTGCTTCAGTTCTTTAAATGATGGATGAAGTTTCACAGGCTTTCACTATCAGGTGCAGGGAAGATATGTAGCTTCAAAGCAGTTTTGCCTCTTTGCTCTGTGCTGTGCTGTTAGGTCCTTTTTTTTTTTTTTTTACAGTGTTTTCAACTCCATTATAATTCTTTATCTTTCCCCATCTTTCTGCACCAGCACCAGTGACATCTGTTTCACACAGGGATCATTTTTATCAACAAAGCAGTCTTGCTACAAGGATATATTGTAGGTTTCAAGAGGCTGCAGCTGCCTCTGTCTCTGCAGGAAGGCTGGTGGTCAATACTGAATTTGGAGACCTGGGTTCTTCTTTGGGGTGGGATGAGAACAGGGGCGGTCACGTGGCTGAGCACTTCTAAGTCCTGTCTAAATCCCCATCTGGCCCTTGCTCATGACTCCTCCCGGCCAGCGTCCTGTTTTAATTCAGACTCCCATCTTTCCTTGACTGCAGAATTGTTAAGAGCCTTTCTATTTGTAGATCTGTCCAGCGCCCTCCCCACCACGAGACCATCATCATCACCAAGCCTCCCCATGTACCCAGAGTGCTTTCACTAAATCACTGATCAAACAATACCTAGGTGACACCTCTGCTTCAAATTCTTCAAGATTCCTTGTCTCCTGCTGTCAGGGTTATAGAACTGGCATGTCTTTCAGGGCCAAACAGGTAACGTAAAGGAAAGGAGCGGGCATGTGTGTGTCTGTCCGCATGTGTGTGTCTGTGTGTTTTCCTATAATGCTGCCCAGAATTGTATCCTTCCTACACTGACGTACTCTGCATGTTAAAGGACGGAGTATTCTTCACGTCTCCAAAGAAATATGCTTTTTCTTTCACTTTTCATGAAACAGACCTTTCAGGCTAGCTTTTGTTTTCCTTCTTTTAACAGAGACATAAGGAAAGGAAATATTTTACCTTCCTCTTTGCTCTGAGACAGGCAACAGTTGTAAGAGTGGTAATAAAAGAAAACAGATACTCGGCTCCGGTATGGGGGATAGAGTTGGGGAGGGCGAGCTTGGGGCGGACAGGAACCCGGGCTCCAGCTGAAGAAAGCAGCCTTGACCAGACAGCCAGGCCACTGCTACCTTGGAGGAAGGTGAGCCCACTGTTGCCAAGTTTTCTGATGTTTCCAATAGAAGCTGGAAATCTGAATTTTTGTGTGTAAGATCTCCTAATTAAAAACTGGGAAAAGAACTTATTCTTGAAAACCTCAGTCCAGGCTGAACAAAGCAGAGCTGCAAGCCAAATGCAACCTGTGGCTTCCATTTTATGACCTTTCACCTAGAACACAAAGGTTACCCTTACCTCCTAGCACTGCCCTGATCTAACTCCATTCACCCTTAAACCCCCTCCATGCATGTCATGGTTTTCCCACCTTTGGGCCTTCAGGTACGCTATTTCCTCTTTCTCTTCTTCTATCTGGAAAAACTCCATCTCCAAGGCATGCCTTGAATGTCACCACCTCAGTGAAGCCTTCCCTGACTTTCCTGGCAGAGGTAATCACTGCTTCCCTCAGGCTCCTTTAGTCCTCTGAACGCTATACTGTGAACCCACTTTTCATATTATTTACATTAATTTCTGTCAATCTCAATAGTAGAGAAACTTCTTAAAAGAAGAATTAGGTCTTATTTACCTCTGTCATTATGATACTAGCAATGGGACTTAGAGAGTAGGCATGAATCTGTTGGATGGATGGATGGATG